TTAGATATAATCTACAGTATTTACACCATTAAGAGAATTATAAAGGCTGCTGTGTGACGGTTTTTAATCATTGTAAAACAGTAATTTATTATTCATACATTGTTTATGATGAGATTTTAGAAAATTCTTTAATCCATTAGAATTCTGGACAGCAGACCTGAAAACAAATTATATGATGTTCAGGGACCTGGGTTTCAATTCATCCTCTGTCACATTCTGGCTCTATGACCTTGGGCAATAATTTTGACTTCTCTGAGAGCATTTATTTTGGGGCTAATGATAAAACAGTATTCTACTGCACCAATGGTTTTGCACAAACAGCTAAAAAAATTATAAGTATAATGAGGAATATCTGCAAATTGGGTTTTCTTATTGGGAATATCCATTTGCCTCCAGGACATAGTGAATTTTCTGTTATGAAACTCTGTCAAACAGTACTGGGAAGCCAATAAAGGTCTTGCATTATTTTTAACAAAATATAGCAATCTCTAATATATCAGTTGATCTTTTTTCCCCTCAGAAGCACAAGGACAAAAAAAGATGCTTTTCTGTACAGAATTAATGGAATCTGTTTAAAAAAGAGAAAAGCTTAAAACCACAAAAAAATCCTCTTAAAACAAGCAAATCTTATGAGGCCAAGAAGTTTGCAAGACCAATAAAACAAATTTAATGACAGATTTTGTGTTTGGAGATAAAGAAGAATGAGTTATTGGAAAACTGTCTATACTTGTTGACATTTTTGTTGTGGCATAATATACTGAGATAGAAAAGCAATTGTTCTCACTCCTCGGAGTGTTAGGACAGTCTGAGAGAAGGGGCACTGCACTCATTGCCAAAAGAAACAGCACATGTTGATGATTAAGGCTGATTTCTTCAGAGTCTTTTATGAATCCATGAATGTCCATCTTCTAAATTATAACCCCATGTCAAAATTTTGAATTTCATATAGTCACAAACTTAACTAGCAAAAGGTTTAAAGTAATTTTTAGTCCACAATGTTTAGGTTAACTTTGATTTGAATATCTAAAATTATCTGATACAGATACCAATGTTTTTGCATTCCTGATCACATAAGATTGAGTGTTGGGATTGTCTGATCTATAGTTCAAGTTATTGCCCAGTCAGATATGAATAACTTGGTGAAAAAAAACTGAACAGTTTGCCTCTCACAAAAAAAAGCATTAAAATTATGTTTTAGTTTTACCATTAAAATGTTGAAGACAAATGCTCAGTGATTCATAGACACCTATGATTAGGCTGTGCCGAAAAGCAACACTCAGAAAATATTTAATCTCCCCAAGTTTATTATTTCCCTCCTATATTTAAAGCCCTAGTTAACTTCAGATGAAAGTAATTATTTATATATGGGGCTTGCTTGAAAGACACAATGATAATGTCCCCCAAGATTCATAAGAAAGTGGCATGAAAAGAAAATCCCTATTTTTAGTACAAGGGAAGAAGTGCAAACTAATCTTACTAACTACTTAACTTCCTCTCTTTAGTATTTTTAATAACAGCATTGCGAAATCCAGTGATTATGGAGGCAAGGTCTAGGGCAGTGGCCGTGAATAAATGGAAATAAATGTTTAGATTTCATATCTAGGAGCTGGATTATTGAATGTGAGAAGACAAAAGGTAGATAAATGAGAAGACCCCACCATTCATTGGCTTAGATAACAGGGTGGGTAATGGTGGAACAAATTCTTTCCTCGAAGAGAAGCAAGCTTAGGCTACAGACTTATAATCACAGGTTCTATTATATTAAAAATGGCTGAAGGTTATTAAAGATGATTAATGATGAAAAGAATTAAGATCCTAAAGCCTTTGATGGGTCCATAGATATTGTTTAGAAAACTTTCAAAACTGGCAGAGTATGGAGACAAAGATAATGACTTCATGTGAAGTACATGAGAACAGAGAAGCTGATGGTATAGGCAAGTGCCCCAAATAAATGGGGTTTTTAATAGAAACTGAATGATCTAAGATCATCATTAGGGATGGCTGGTTCCCATCTGCCATGCTTATACTTGTGGAATGTCAGACAATAAGCGCCTCTCCTTTAGAAGACTGTACAGAAAGCAGAGTTTCACTTAATGTCAAGGAAGCAGAGGAAGCATTTTTTTGAAGGGATTGAGAATGTGGCTGGCTTTTGTTGTTTTGTTTTTTCGGCACTATAGAAAGTTCCAGAGGGAAGGGTAGAGATTTCTTGGAAGCATAAAACAGGAGCTTGCATGAGAGGAAATAATGCACAAAGCAATATAAAGATCAGAGTAATGGAAAGGAGGGCTCAGAGCTGTTTATATTAGGATCATGATGGAGGTACACCTGGGATGTATGGAAGAATGAATGAAATTACATCAAGACTTTAAGGTGGTAGTACCAACACACCTTTTTAGTTTTCATGTGCCTTTTCTGAATAAACTAACCACAATGTGTGTGCGTATGAAATCAAAGTATCTTACCCTTCAGCCTATGAACTATATGCATGAGGTCAGGGACCTCATAGTCATGCTCATCGTTTTCCTTGGATCACAGGTCCAAACACAGAGTAATTTTGTAATGCACTGAGTCAAAGGAGTTACAAGATCTATATTTTTTTATCTGTACTTAAATGAAAATGGATTTTAATAGGATATGTATAGTATTAGTCCACAGGATACTTGTAGGAGACTGTGCAAAGAGAAGATTAATCAGACACTAACAGTTTTATTCCACCTATTTTGATTTTTTCATTTTTTTTCTTCAGTGGATATGTATAATATTTATAGTCTCCATGAAGGTGAGGATGTTTGTTTTGATCACTAATAGATCCCTAACATCTAGATGGGTACCTGGTATATAGTAGACACTTTGTATATTTGTCAAATGAGTGGTTGAACTCATCAACTTCATCATATGTTCTTCAGAAAGAGTAGTATTTAGTAATAATTATACTTGATAACATTCTCAACAGCTATACTATTTCAGCCACACTAAAGGGAATCAAGATATGTGTTGGTCTATTATAATAGCAACTAGTCATGTTTGTTATAAAAATATACTATTCTAAGAGTAACGTAAGGTGTACTAGAAGCATCATCCTCAAAGAGGTTAAAGTAATATTCTGAGAAACACAATGAGGGATTTGTAATGAGGTCACAGCTGCTGAACGATGTACACAATAATAGTATAAACTATTTGTGTACTCATTTTTACATTCATTTCTAACATCAACCTCCACTACCTTCAGGGAATAATTTCATTTCCTATTTAATTTCAAGTGTTGCAACTGCCTTAAGGTTGTTATAAATTATGTACAGCACTATATAGAAATAAAAGTTTTCATTTCTATTCTTTACCAAGTACAAATTTTGTTTTAAATTAAACATGCTTTCGATTTATGGTTCAACTCAGGATCTTGCTGTGGTTACCTACTTATCAAAGGAAAAACGCCACTTTTCAGGAGATTACCAAGAGTTCTATTGCTCCATTCAGTACTTTTTAAATTTCACAAAATAATCACATATATAAATTATAATTAGAAGCCTATTTTTCTAACTGAAAATTAAGTTATTTTCTTTAGAGCTAAATCCTCACTAGTGGTGAATTTATCTTTTACTTCCAATTGCAAATCTTGATGCTTTTTTATTCTCTCACATTATAAATCTGATATTTTTTTCTGTTTCTATTTTGTACCGTGCAGCAAGAAAACAAAGGAGTAAGGCTGTGCTTCCCCCCATGACATTTTTAAATGAAATTTGACAAATCCTACTGTTATATAAGAGTTTGATATTTTCTTTTTCAATCTGCTTAAATTTGCTTCTCAAACAGGGTCATCATAGAACTTTATTAGACTTTTTTGTACTAATTTCTGATCAAGTTTTGGTGGGTGTTTCCAGAATTTCTAAGCAAAAAACATAATTTTATCTATTGTGAGCACTTATTTTAGAATTAAGCAAATATTGAATGAAAAATTTACTATATTACAAAAAAGGGAATATGACTTTTTGTAACATAAACAAATCAAATATATTTCAACACAGGCTCTTTAATCTTGAATTTCTGCAGCATTTGACATAGTTGATCACTTCACCCATCCAAAACATTTTTTTTTTTAAAGATTTTTCTTATTTGAGAGAGAGAGAATGAGAGATAGAGAGCACGAGAGGGAAGAGGGTCAGAGGGAGAAGCAGACTCCCCGCTGAGCAGGGAGCCCGATGTGGGACTCGATCCCGGGACTCCAGGATCATGACCTGAGCCGAAGGCAGTCGCTTAACCAACTGAGCCACCCAGGCGCCCTATCAAAAACATTCTTGACTCTTCAGGTTTCTGGCACTCACCTGCCTTGCTTCTCCTCCTACCTCTCTGGCTACTACTCCCATGTACTATTCACATCACTTGCTCTATTCTGTGCTGCCACTGAGCTTGGTTCTGAGCTCTCTCACTTTCCTTTAGGCTCTAACACCTCAGAATCGCTATTTTGAACTCAGAATGACTATGTACCTGAAGCTCTTCTGCTCCCCTTCCTTAATAGCTAGTCTATCACTAATGTGTAAAGGGTTGAAGAGCCCCCAAATCTTTATCCAGTTCTAGAAATCAAAATGTAAGGGATTTCTTTATCCATCTCTTTTGTTGAGACCCCCCCCACACACACACACTTAGCAAATGTTTTTCCTGTTCTTCCAGTTTTTCCCCAAACCTATCTCAAACCCATCCTGTTCCATCTCCACTACTACCACCACTATAGCTTATCTACTACTGAAATAGCTTTCTTTTTTTTTTTTTCCACAGTCTAAAAAGAAATTTATTTGTTTATGAGAGCCATGATTTGGGACATTAGAAAGTTCTCCAGGGATGTGTTAGTAAAAATGTGGTGAGAGGGCGAGACTCAGCAACCCACGGGCATGTCAAAAGATGTGCACAAACTCTCTTGGGTGAACTCTGCTCTGACTTCAGGCCAAAGGTGTTTGCTTGCAGGGCCCTGACAGCTGAATGGCTGGAAGGCCCTGGCTCAAGAGAATTTATTCGGAACCTTTCTTCTTCTTCTTCTTTGTCTTCTTTACTGGTATGTCGTGTAACGTAGCATCCACTGCTACCTCAACTTGCTTTTGTAGCTTTTTCTTTTCTCTCCTTTTTTTGGGCTTTGGGGTAATGTCCTGGTCATCAGGGGGCCACACACAATCCTCTCCATCCTCAGCAGAAACACCAGAATTCTCATCCCAACAAGAGTCTCCGAGCTGCCGTTCAACTTGGTCTCTCTTCTTCTTGGCCTGGGGTTCAGTGTAAGTCTCCACATTTTTATCTTTTGCCCCTTTTTTTCTCTTCTTTCCCCTTTTTCTTTCTATTCGGTTCTCTGCAAGGTCAGGCCCTGCCGCTATGACCTGTGGCTTATTCTTTAGCTCCGCCATCCGCTTGGCAAAGTACTCCTGGATGGTGAAGGCACTGGTCGTTGTAGTGGAGGATACATTCCCATCTGGAGTGGCAGGGCTGGAATCATCATCCTCAGGAGTCTTCTTACTCTGTTTTTTCCCAAAAATGCAGTCAAGATCTGTTTTGCTCCGAGATGATAGATCCTTCCCTTTTGTGAATTTCATATAGTGAACACGGTTTTTGGAGATTTTAGACTTTTCTTCAAGGCTGAAAGTCTTCTTTTCTTTGTTGTCTGAGGAGTCTGTTGTTTCCTGCCCATGGCAAGTGTTCAGCTCAGCCAGAAGCTGGTTAAAATCATCCTGATGAGCAATCCAGTTATCTTCATTATTGATTGTAGCTCCAAGTCCCAGGTGGTTATTTTTAACTTGAACTTTAATATGATCTGTGGCTCCTTGCTCCTGAGCCCCTAAACCCTTTCCTTTAGACCACCCCATCTTCTCTAGCATCCTCTGGCCAAACTTGGAATCGTCATTGCTCCACGCAGTGTTTCTTGGGTCCACAGCCCACTTCTGCTTCCGCCTTCGCTCAGCCAGCATCGACATGTCGAGAGCCTGGGGCGCCGCGAGTCTCCAGACCTGAGCGGTGGCGGCTACCGAGCAGCAGGCTCGCGAAGAAACTAGAATCACGGGACTCCCAAACCAGGGACACAGCAGCCCTGAAATAGCTTTCTAACAGATTTCCCTGGCCTGTTCATGATCCAAAGAGTTAATTCTCTATACAGCAACCATGGTAATATTTTTTTAAAAATATAAAACCAAGTAAGTTCACTTGTTTAAAAATTTCAGTGGCTCCTTACTGCTTTCAGAATAAAACAAATGCCTTGACCTGGCCAGAACGCCCATCCTGATGGGACTGGACTGTCTTTCCAACTTCATTCCATAACACAGCCCTTGCCTCCCTTTCCATCATGTTACACCTTCACTAGTTCCCCCTCAGGTCTCTGTAAAAACTTTAAGGCCTTTTTCATTTCAGGGACTTTCATCTTACTGCTTCAATCCTGAGAGAAGTCCCTTTAAACTCAGCTCAAAAGTCAGGTTTCATAGGGACTTTGGAGATCATCTTCCACAACAACCTGTTTTATCAACATCTTCGTAATTCTAATCAGAAATTATGTATATATGGTCAGTTTTCCCTTTCTTGAATGGGAAGGGAATTAGATCATAGATAATATAGATCTTGTTCAAATATACATTTCTATCCATTAGCATGGTCCTGAAATATAGTAGGTCCTATGTAAATACTTGCTGCCTTATGAATAAATCAATTAATGAAAGAATTCGTAAGTCATGTTGCCTCATATCAATGGATAAAGTGACTTCTGTCACAGTCTATCTGTACAGAGAAGTTATGTGTTAGCACAAGAGGATAAAAATATCATTAACAGAACTACTCAATTCTCCTATATTATTTTAAACCTCATAAATGAACTTCTTTCAAATCTATTCACAAATCTGTGGAATTCCAATTTTATGTATATATTCACAGTATTAAGTTAGAGCAATGATGTTCATAGCTTCAGAAATTCTTATCTCTATCTTTACAACATGGACACAAACCAACTTCCTGAGCTCTAAGGAAATCATTGTTTTAAGGCGATCATCGGAGAAAGGGGTCTTCCGACCAAAGTTCTTTGCTTGACCTATTTATGTTATTATAACATCTGATTCTGAGAACCAAGAGAAATTTGAGACTGACATCCCAAAGCTCAATAATACAACAAAAGCATGTGTTGCCACTGAAGGAATAGGACAGCATTTGCCAACTCCTCCAGATGTTTCTCCTTTTAGCAAGATGAAGCATCACAGCAAGTTTTATTTTATCCAGATGCTACCTTTTTGAGGTCTTGGCAAAACAAAGGTAAACTAAGTCTATGATTCAGATAAACAACATTTTTTTCCTCTCTCCCCTTAACACCCCCATCAGGTTAGCAAAAAGGAGCTACAACTATCCCTTCAGAATTGTCTATTTTGATGACCCATTCAAATGATGCTATAGTTTTTTTCTGATTGTAACCCCTCAAATGTATCAAATTAAACATTTTATACTGAATTGCCACACATGGGTGGACACGTGCACACACACAATGGTTTTTTGTTACCACTAAAAGGATTTAGATTTAACATATGGATATTTTTCAGACTTTTTGCATTTTTAAAATAAAAAAGTTGCTTCATTTTAACTGTTTTTTATCTAAAGTTATAAATCTTCAGCTTTCACTTTAGGTCTAGAATCTTCCTTCTTACACTCATTTCATTAAATTTTCTCTTTTGTCACAGTGGGAAAACATGGCCATTTAAGTCAAATAAATGTGTTTTCAAAGCTGGGTTTTGATATTTACCTAATACACTTGGAGTAAATATGTGGACTCCCTTAGTCTTATTAACTGGAGTTTTACCAGAGCTAATAATTATTCTATTAAAAATTGTTAAATGATTAAGTAATACATACAAAATGTCTAGAGAAGTGCCTAATGGTAAAAATACATGTCTTATATTATGCCACTAATGAAAAAAACAGCTTAAAAATCTTTTAAAGAAAAACATTGGACTAAATGAGGCAATGCTTCCATAAATAGCTCACATCTGAAATGACTAAAATATCTTATGAATAGAACATACCATCTTCAAATGCAAAAGGATGTAAAAATTGAATTTTGACTAAGTAGGATTCCAAAGTAATTGAAACAAAGTAATGAATAAAAATAGGAGCCTGAGCCAGATAAAACAGTTCAAAACTCTTGAGGGAGGGAAAGAGGTAAAACTGAACATGTGTACTTTAATCATTAAGTAGTGGCATTCCCCACTTTTTTCCCTGATTTGCTTGTATTTCTGCAGCTCACAATTCATGTGGAAAATTATATATATATATGTGTATGTATATATATGTGTGTATATATATATACATTTAGTGCCCAGGTAGGGTTTCTCAAAATGTGCACATACTCATGAAAATCTATAGTGAGTCATTAATACCAATAAAGAAAATAAGATTTTACATAAAATATGCAAATAGTTTTTCACAAACCTGTTCTGAGTCATTCATTTTATTTTTTTCTGTACACATATTTGCATTTATTAGGTATTATTTTTGACATTTTAAAATTCAAGAAAAAACCTCATTTATGCTCAACAGACCTATCATATTTCCAATTTTAGATTGTTTCACTTCTGTTCCACCAGTGTCTTCCACACAACAGCTGCAACTCCCATTTGCCTCATTGTCGGGAAAAAATTGAATCTGTTTCAGCCTATCAGAGAGCCAAGAAGCTTCTGGGGCAGAGAGACCTTGCTACTTAAGATGAAAGCATCTTCATTATGCTAACTGATTCAGGGCAGGTTTGTGTCAGAAGTGCAAACTCTGGATTTATTAGCAAAAGGACACTGAGGGGCAAATGTATGTAACATTTGGCTAAACCAATTCTTCTCATTTTCAATTTCACTTGGCTCAGTTATTTACCATGAATTTGACCTTGGAATGTGTGTTTTTAAATCACAGGACAAAGCGTTCAAAATGTCCCAACTAAACATTTATTTTAACTTCAAGAAAATTAATTCCCCAATCTCTGAAAAAAAGATAAATACAAACTTCAGCAATTATGCAATATAGTATCTGCATATGATAAAAAGGTGGTATGATTTTAAGTTTTGTCCTACAAATCTTTAAGTCTTTCCCCCAAATGCTAAAGACTAAAATCACTGGATTTAGATATATGGGTTATTCTTTTGTAAAACTATTTTTTATAGTCTCCAGAAGAAAGGTGTGCTCTCTGCAAAGTATTTAGCAAAAAGCAAATAAAGGGTTTTACAGGATATGCGTGGACATTTTTTTCCTGATCTTTAATTCCAGTATAATGAACATATAGCATTAGTTTCAGGTGTACAATATAGTGATTCAACAACTCCATACATTACTCAGGGCTCATCACGTTAAATGTATTCTCAGTCCCCTTCACCTATTACACCTATCCCCCCGCCCACCTCACCCCTAGTAATCGTAAGTTTGTTTTATATAGTTGAGTTAGTTTTCTGGTTTGTCTTTTTTACTTTTTTTTGTTCATTGTTTTGTTTCCTAAATTCCACATACGAGTGAAGTTATATGGTATTTGTCTTTCTCTGACACTATTGTATTTTAAGCTGATGAAATTGTCATTTTATAGGTCAAAATAAAAAGGAGTTTCACGTTTCAAATAGCCTCATCTTTATCAATTCACATAATCTGTATCACATTTGTTTCACTTGTTTCATTATGCCAGTGGTTCCCAAACTCTGCATCACACTGACATTTAAGACCTAAAAATCTGTTTCCCAACCCAAGACATTCTAATTTAATTGATATGTTTGACCTTGTGTCCAGATTTTTAAAAATCTGGGTTTTAATCTTTTAAAAATAACCTAGGAAGCTAGTTAAATCTCAAGATTTACAAACTCTATCCTATGAGATTCTGATTCAGAAAAGCTAGAGTGGTCTTGTTTTGAACTCTATAAAAACAGTCCAGCTACTATTTTTGTAGAAATCTCTATAACAGTGGTTTTCCTAGTCGATGTACTCTAGAGTTCATCCAATTAAACCAATAAAGTAAAAGAATTCAGAACTCCTAGTGGTGAAGCCTGGCACCAAAATTTTAAGATTTCCACACATAGTTCTAATGTGCTGGTAGTGATGATAAACCATAGGCTTATGGTTTCAATTAGGTATAATGATAAAGCTACAACGGGAGTCAGAAGCCATAATTTGAGCCCTGTGATTCACTTAATGACCATATATAAGAACATATCGTTTGGGACAATTACTGAAAATTATTTAATTTTTTATCATATGGATTATTTGATGGCAGAGATTTCATCAGTAAACTGTTATAATTAATGAACCAGGAAGGTATAATTATTAAACATGGTATGAAAGTTATTTTTTTAAAAAAGCAGCAACAACAATGAAAAACAGAGTGAAACCATTTTCTTCCTGTAGCCAAATTCCCAGCTAATCTGGTTACCAAGGTATAACCTGATGGGTCTCTAGAGTCAGACTCGATCAATATTCACAGGTAACAATGAAAATTCATAATCTGCTACAAACACTTAACTCTATCCTCAGGACATCAGTCTCTTCTGATTTTCCTCTTATCTTACGGGACATTTCTTCTCATTATGAAGTGCTCCAGGACTTAATCTTGAGAACGCTCTTTGTTTACGTTCACACTCCATAGACGTGATCTCATCCATTTCTACAGCTTGAAATATTATTTGTATGCCAGCACTACTAGCACTACTTTTAACACCAGGTCAGGACAAAACCTGGCACCCACTTTCCTAATTCCTCTTTGGAACCACTCAGCACATACCAACTCCTGCAAAGCTTCTCCAACTCCCTTTATTGAGATACTCTGAAGGCTGCTTGGGAGCATGCTCTCCTTTCCTGCAGCAAACTAAATAAAACTTTGATTGACTTTAGCTGTGTTCCTGGAGACTTGCTTGTGCTCCTTGACAGCTGTTGTCAATATCTGACAGATACCTTAGCTTGTTTAATTATTTACTCTGCCTCCAACACTCTACTGTAAGCT